AGTCTAAAATTAGACGATTTCAAAAATTTTATTAGACACTTTCACTATCTCAAATCAGGCATTCAAAAAATTTTTCTGGATCTTTTCCCTTTTCTTCCTTAGTTATTTATATATATTTTACAATGGATTTTATCCAGTATAAGCCTGAATTTGATTATTATCCAGATAGTGAAACGGATAATGAGAGAGATGAAGATTTGGCAATGGATTATGGCTACATTCTGCAGTTAACTGACTTGGACTCTTGCCAGTCTGTTTTTGACGTCAAAATGGAGGAACCAATTGAGGAGCCGATGACAGTAGAACCAACAATGGAAGAAATCACTACCGATTTTAATGCGATATCTATTACAGAGAATAGCAAGAAGAAGAACAGATATGGCCCGGAGCAGGTTCGTGTTTTTATTGACCTTATTCAGGAAGAGGGGTTGAGTGTGCCAAAAGCTGCCAAGCAATGCATGATTCCAAGAAGTAGCGCATACCTTCTACTAAAGGAATTCAATGCAGGTAATGGCGATGTACTTCCTGGCCAATCATTAAAGAAAAAAGCGAACAGAGGTGCACCTGTAAAACTTTTACCTGAACATACAGAATTTCTTGTGAAGCTCTTCGATAAGAATCCTTCATCGACTCTTGAAATGGCTAAAGTGGCACTATCTGAAAATTTCGTAGGATTTACTATTTCCTTGCCTAGCCTTTGGAAGCACTTAACAGAATGTTTCCATTTTTCTTTGAAGCAAGCGTCGAAATACAATGCTGATAGAAACTCTGAAAGAACTCTTGTTTTTCGTCATGATATAGTACGCAAATGGAGAGAAAGTGGTGTTGACTTTCAGAAAAACTGTGTTTTTATTGATGAGGCTGGGTTTCATACTCAGATGATGAGAAGTCGCGCATGGTCGAAAAAAGGCGATCCTGCTATTGTGCAAGTTCACAACAGACGTGGAGCAAATGTTACAATTGTCGGCTGTATTTCTCCTTTTGGGACCATCAACTTTTCTAAAGTTGAGCCATTGAAGCGATCAGATATGGAGAAATTAGAGAAAGAATTTAAGGAACATGCAACTAAAAAGAGAAAAGCTAATGTTTTGGAGAATTCCAAGTCAAAACCTCTTAAAAAAGGCACAACCGCGTACCATATTGTTAAATTTATCGAAGCTGTTATGGATGTTCTTGAAAGCATAACAAAAAGGGAATGTTTATAGTTATGGACAACTGTAGAATTCACCATTCTGCATTTGTCGTAGATGCTATTAACAAACGAGGCTACAAGCCTCTTTTTATGGCTCCATATTCTCCATTTTTGAATCCAATTGAAGAATGCTGGGCTAAAATTAAAAGTAATATCAAACGAAACCCTTTAGACACTAACTCAAAACTCACGCCACGAATTGTTGAAGCATGTCAATCAGTTACTGTTGAGGACTGCATGGGATGGATCAGGCATGCCGAAGCTTATTGGGATAGATGTATGAGCAAAGAGTTGAACCTTAAATAATAGTAAAGCAATAAATTGTCTTCTAGAAAGTAATCGATTCTGTCCAGAAACAAATTCTCAGTGTCTGATTTGAGAAAGTGAAAGTGTCTAATTTAATTTTTGAACCTATCCAAATCAAACAGTTGCCGAAGTGGAAGGAGAAGATGAGGTGGTAAAGGCTCTTTCGTGCCACGCTTTATTTTCAGATAAAAAAAAAAAAAAAAAAAAAAAAAAAAAAAGCGTCCAGATTGAAATCAAAAACTGTCCAATACAATTTTTGAAATCGTCTAATTGGTTGTCGTACCTAAACGAATCCCAGTTGACTCCACTTCGACCTCCAATGTGATACATGCTCTCTGAGCTACGCTTTATTTTCCTTATATGATAATAATAATAAAAATTCCCTTCCTTCCCTATATCTTTCTAAGCCGAGCATTCGTGGATAAACTATGACTGATCCGATTAACAATAATGAACAAAGGACATACACCGAAGACGAAGTTATCGAATTACTTAGACGAGTCAAA